CTCTTTTCTGGCTTTGATCTCTGTTCCTGGCACCCGTTTAGTTGAACAATTTGGCTTGAGCCCCTCAGTCTCCCCAGGAGCTCCCACTACCAGGTTTCCTTCGTAAGTCAACCAGCTTTCCAAGGTTATGAGTAATTAGCTGAGATCATGTCTGATACCTTTTTTTTATTTTTGTTTTTTTGTTTTAAGATTTTTATTGGGGAATTGAGAGATGGGAACAGTGCTGGGGAATTGGGGGAAGGGGAACAGACAAGTTGCTGTCCTTTTGTTCTTCACTCTAGTTGTGGAGGATGTTGCTTCACTGGCCCAAGTTGGCACCATCATTGCGCTCTTCCCGGGAGAGGTGCATTAGTCGCTGGCTTCTGGATGGCCACTCACGGCGGCTGCTGGCCGCTCACGCTGGCTGCTGGCTACACACAGTAGCCCATGGCAACTCACCGTAACAGCTGCAGCCTACACCATCACTGGCAACTCACAGCAGCCCAGCTCCAGGTTGAGCTGTTGTTCAGCATCTTAGCTGTGGAGGGCAGTGTCACTGGTCCTCATATGTGGGATCTGAACCGGGGCCGTCTGGTGTCCCAAGCCAGCTCTTAACCAACGTGCCACTCGGCCGGCCCTGATGCCTTCTCTCTTGCTAAGTTTCTATGATTCTATCCACTATAAGATGCCTTATAGAAAGGTTACCAATTTGTCATTTCATTATCTGGATAATCAGAAGCAGCAATGAGTTAATGAAAAGGTCACTGAGATTGAAATCAAAATAGCTAAATTTGAATCTCCACTTTATTACATCAAGTCCCTTAAATTTAGTCATCTCAACTATGTAAATGATAATAAAACCTGATTTACTAAAATCTTAAGGTTCAATTAGATATAATGTGCATGAGAGTGTGTGTTACTTATTTTAAGCTACAAAAATGTCAAATATGTTTTTATTATTGTCAGCTTCATCCTGTGCTGATAACATTTTCTAAATACCATTTGAACTAAAAGAGATGATTGGTTCAAGTCAATGCACATTTCTCAGTCACCTGCTTCTGTCTGGGGCATTGTGTTTGGCTCTGGGTACAAAGGTTAATGGACACACCTGGAGCACACAGTTTGTACAGCACTGCAGAGATGCCAAATGACCTGAATTAAGATTTGGAACTTACCAAACTATATCTGAAGACCGGTGAAGATCTATGTGGCATTTGTAAAAGCAAGTTAGGTATGAGTCTCTCTAAATAAAAACAAAAAAAACAAAAAAACAACAACTTTTTAATCTATGTAAACCATGTTTAAAGAAAAGTGGTTTCCTCTGTGATGTCTGTTATCCCTCTAAACAGATCTGGTTTATAGGGAGCCCTCTAGAGGTCAATGGGCATTATTGCCTGAATTTTCAGGAAGGAGCCCTTAGGTCTTCCTTTCAGCAATGTCTACTTTCCAGACGTGGACTGCTGAATCTCAGAGAATTTAGCACTCAATGTAAGCTTTTAAAGATAGAAATATTTTATTAAAGTTGTGAAATTTTTAATTAATTTACGAGTTTGCATTTATATTTTCAGAAAAAACAAAGATTCTGAAGCAAAATTCAAAGTACAACTCTTGTATCTATCCCTTGGTACTTTCATATCTAACTCGCAGCTGTTTTCATTTCTTGCTTAACTGAATCTTTATTCCCCCCCCCACTGCTTAAGAAAGACATATTTTCATGGACTTTGAAGTCTGTGAGAGAATACTATTTGTTAGATGTTTGTTTATGTTCTTGATTGACTCCTATATAAATTTTCTTTTGCCTTTCAGGAAAAAACCTTTAACTAGAGTTTAGAGAATAATAAGAGTCTTTATGGGTCTTTTTAATATCGCATACATTCTAGCTCATGCTCCTATTCATGCTTATTTTGCAACAGGTAAAATTTTTGCACAAGGAAGTGGGTCATTTTTGTTCCCTCTTCTGTCCTCATGTATTGGTTATCTGGCAGTCGATCCCAGTCATCTTTTAATGGTCTCATCTGTGCTTTTAAATATATTTTTGTAAATACATGTATGCATCAAACTTAATTTTACTCTATTTTAGGTAAAGCATCTTATATATTGCAGGAAGTCAATGAATATCTGTTGATTGACTTAACATAATTCTCATTTCCTAACTGTGCCTCCCATTGTAAACATCAAAACAGAGAAAAAGGGTTTCGTATTCTCGTATCCACAGGATGGATTCCTAGTGATGACCACAGATTTCCTCTCATCCCAATGGTCTTGAAACTAATAATTGTAGTCGTTTTAGGATGATGGAGTTTGAAATGGAAATGATGATAGATTTGATATCTTTGCCAGTTTTTGTTATGATTTTTTAATGTCACTTGTCCCAGGAAGAGGGCAAGGATATTAAGACATTGAGACAGAAACCCAAAGCCAAAATAGAAAAGAAAGTAGTTCCTGAAATGAAGGGGTGGCGAGATGAGGGAGAAGAGGCTTACTATTTATGCTAGCTACCTCAAAGGAGTAGCCAGATCAGAACTTGCTTTTGTCTTGTTTTTCCCCAGACTTTGTGTTTCCTTCATTTCTTTCTTTATATCTATAGGGAAGAATTTCCATCCTGTAAGACTTGCTTTCCATATGAAGGAACTTGTACTAGACAAAGAGTGTCAATCTTTCTTCTGACTCTCGCAGCTTCCTGGGTGAATTATCTGAATGGTGAGCATGTGAAAAGAAATCAAGAAGGCTCCAGTCAGCCCTGTCCAAGGGATTCCTATGTGGCAATGGCTAGCGAGACAAGTCTGTGTAATTCTGTAGCGAAATATAAACAAGTCTATTTGACTGTAAACCTAAAGTCACATTCCACCCCAGACTTTCTCCTGGGTCTTACTCTCAATAGTTCTAAACTTAGGATGGGAAGAGGGGTATTATTTATGGTCACCTGAAATTCCAGCAATTTCTTTCCTTGTCCTTTTGATCTGAGGTGGATTTCAAAATTACACACAAAACAAAACACTAGTAAGCAGAGAAACAGAAGAATAAAACAGAAAAAATAAAACAAAGCCAGCTGTTTATCCATTAATTCATTCAACATATGTTTATTGAGGCTCCACAGTGCCAGGCTCCATTCTGGGAGAGGGGGTGCAGGGGGGGTTCATGACAAACAAGACATGTAGGGCTCCCGCTACAGGAACTTTACAGAATACACAAACTTTACATCACGTGGTTCGACATTATTTTCTAGAGGTAGGAGAAAAGTGTGCACTGATCTTAATTACAGTCAAAGAAAAGGGCAATCATCTTCAGTTGCATGATAAACAGGAGTGGTTGCCCACCCAAAGAGTTGCTCCCATGCCAGATTTCTGGAGATACTATTGTTCACCACAAGGTTACCATTAAAATGGACATTCTCTTGATTAGGATACCTAACTTTTGGCCCCAGTGATTCATCCAGGACTAGGTAACTAACCCAGACCAAGTCAGTCAGATCCTTAACCCAATATTGTCAGCTGTTTGATGCCAGGAATCCAGGTAATCTCTTGAAAATGGATGAAACTCAAACATTGTCAACAGCCATGCTTCTGGATCAGCAGCCAAGAAGAGAAAGGTGATGAGAGACAAGCGCTCCCTGCCTTGTTCCAGCGGTGCCCAATACACAATGGCTCAACAGCTGAACGACTCTGTGAAGTATGTCTGTGTTTTTCCAATAAGACAGAGCTTCCAAACAGTTTAACTGCAGTCATAGAGAGGTAGGACATAGTTATTGACTTCCAAGCTCTGTGCTGTTGAGTTTCTGCATATCTACCTGTCTCATGCACCTCCCTAATTTAAAATAAATATCATATCTGTACTCAAATCTGTGACAGTTTTGACACAATGAGCAGCAAAGCCTAAGTGAATACTGACTCCACCTTCTGGTTTGTTTTCAAGATTCATTAGAATACATCTCTTACTTCTCTCTCCCTCCCTCTCTCTCTCTCTCTCTCTCTCTCTCTCTCTCTCTTTCTTTTCCCAGTCCAATTTTGGGCTCATTTTCAAAGTGATTTCTATTTCTTTTTTCCTCAGTCATCTCTCCTGGACCCTCTTAAAAGGCACCAACTGATGGAAGGTGGTTCTGTAATATTTCAGAACTTATCAGGGGCTTAGAATTTCACCACCCTGTGTCTAATTCCTGACTGATTAACGCTGATTCTAAATAATCACTCCTTACCCCCAACAATCTGTACTGTTTGGAGTAATAAGCATTTCCTGCTTGTGTTATTTAAACCTCTCTGGGGGCCAAAGATCAAATGTGATCAATGCTTCCACAACTTGGAAGGAGGGGGAAAAGATGGCTTGGGTTATGTAAGACATAGCTCACCTTGTTGGTGCCATTGTAGTTAAAATAACATGCTTGATCAAAGAATGACGCAGTCTATGATACCCAGGTTGTTCTTCCACTCTAGGATGCCACATTTCCATGGCAACACAGTGCTGATTTCACAGGGACTAAGATTTTGATGATGGTCTCTGAATGGGTTTTGTTTTGAACTTTCTAGGGTTACTAGGAAACCAAGTAAATTTTGTCAGTTCTATGATTAAGGAAACTGAAGCTAAACTACATAAGAAATAGAGATGTTCCTTGGATTAAAAGGAAACAATGACAACAGAGAGAAAAAATAAAAAAAAGACAGGCTCAGAGTTCCGAAGGAAGTGGTGAAGCCTAGAACACAGCTTTGTTGCAGCATCTGGGTAGCCCGAGGCTCTGAACAAGTGGCAATACAAGAAAGTTCAGACAGATAGCAGTATCCATTATAAGTCCCTCATAGTGATGGTCAGAAGTCTTGGCAGCTCAACAAAATCTCAGCAACTTACCAGAAATGTATATTATTTTCTCAGTGATAGATCTCTTGATCAAAAACCCTCATGGAATTTTGATCAATAACAATAAAAAGTATTAAGATTCAACCATTTAAACAAATGAACTTATTCATAGTAATACAAAGTCTAAATAAACCTAATCATTTTTATTCTTTAAAAAATGTGCTGCTATAGGCTGAATAATAATAATTGACCAATTTAGATAGAGTTAATCAGGATACAATTGTTGAAAATGACATATTTTGTGAGGCACCATCTCCATATTAATTCTAAGCCCATATTATTAGAGGTGGCTCAAAGTCCCCAGTTCAGTCATTTCATGAAAGAGAACACTTGCTCATACAGCCCAGTACACCCAACATTCCAGAATCTGTTCACATAACTACAAATTATTGAATATCTTTGGGACTTTCATACCCATCTCCCAAATCCCTGTGCTATGCCATCTTCCTGACCCCATATTTTGCTTTTGGCCCAATGTGATTTTCTGGAACCTCAACCTCAAAGATGAGGCAGATGCTAAATGAGATATGGCCTGAGAGCTGGAGTCTAAAGACAGATACAAAAACATAAGATGTGATGCATGTCAATCACACTTTTGAATTGTTTCTGAAATTGAGTTTCCATTTTTCCCTAAATAGCGCTGCAATTCTTTGACAGCTGGGATTCCATTGACTTCAGGGTAGTTGAGCAACAGGAATTAGGTGCAGGCTGAAGTCTCCATCTGCTCACTCCACATGTCCAGTTTGCTTCTGAGGCCTGTTCTTCCTCAAACAGATCAGGGTTGAAATATATAGTATTCTCATTTTACAGCATCACGCTGGTGAATCCATATCTCTGCCATAACAATATAAAAATGCAACTGAGGGTTTGAAGATTTGGGTTGTTCAGTCATCTGATTGCCTAAACCCCTTAATCCAAACAAACAGATCAATAAACCTCTTCCAAATTTAGTCATCCATCTACATTATATAAACAAAATTTATTTCAACTTCTTTCCAAATAAATAGGCCCAAGCAAGCATGCAGAAAATTCAGTCTTAATCACATCCTCTGTTAAAACCTGCAATGAACTAGATTTACAAAATTCAGAGCTCTAACTGTTCTGATGTTTAGGCATATAGAAACTGAGTCGGCCAGTGCATTCCTCTGACTCGCTTTAATTTCATAAATCTTTCCTTTCACTGTAGTTTTTCCTGCAATAATTGGGCTCAGCTTGTTATTGTTCAGACCAGAAAGCTCTGATTCCTTAGAGGAAGGTAAGTTCACATGTTCTTGGTCGGTTGGCACTCTGTACGTTTTGTAGCATTCTCCAGGTGAATACATTTGGCCTCATGTTGACCATCCCTCCAGGGTGGTCAGATGAGAGAGGAGGGAAGAACCGGCTATTGGAACTAGGATTCCTGGGAACACCTTTGGCCCATGACATAAGATATGAAGCTTGGAGACCTGCTCCTTTATGAGCAGCAGGGGTCCCTCAGGGGAGCCAAGCCAGAGGCCATTCACGAATGACTTCCTCCAGGGGCCCCCGCTTGTTTCTATAGCCTCCTCCTTTCATCAACACTCAACTAGCCTGGATAGTTTTTACCTCCTTTTGAGTTTGAATCTCTTCTACCTATCGCCTGTGGTCACATTCGCTAACTCACTTATCACCTGATTCCTCACCCTACTTTCTCCACTTGTTTTTGGTTACTGTTTGTGTACTGTGCTTTGGTGAATTGCTTAAAATCTCCTTGTGACTGAAACTGGAGTGTACCGTTTGGAACTTTGCTGTTTCTGGGTGTGTGGTTAACCCCTCCCCTTCACCCCCCAATGGCCCACCTCTTTACTCAAGAATTGTTGGTTGTCAGGATAGTGTCACGGTGAGGAACACGAGCTGGACTGGGAGTCAAACATAGGTGAGGTTGGTTCTGTCCATTTCCTGCTGAAGAAAACCAGGTTCGTTTGCCTGTTGTTTATTAGCTTTTATTTTGCTGCTGTCTGAAGGATCAAATTGAAATAAATACTCTGAAGTCAGATTTATTTCCTCCCCCACTTTTTTTTTTCACCTTTGCACTCCAGCTATATCTTCAACCCAACTTTGTCTACCTTCTACTATTCCTTGTCGTATTAACTTAAGCACAGATGGGCTACCATTGTAGCCAAGAATTCATTTTATTCTTTTCTATTTGTCCCTCCAAATGGCATGTCTAGAGTCCCACCATTTCTCCTATTTTACTCACTCCTTGAAATAAATGACTGTTTTAACAGTTTTCTACATGCAAGGAAAGTGTACCTAATGTGTTTTAACCAATCTCTGAATGTTTCTTACTTCACTGAGGACAGAAGCTAAGAGAAAGGGGAAATGGAAGATTTTACTTTTTTTTTCATATTAGGTGAAGAGTGAGTTTTGATGGCTCCAAGATTCCTTAATGAGAATAACCACAGTGGGATTTAGATAACCTGGTTATGAATTCGTGCTCTGCCACTGACTAGCTCAGTGCCCTTGGATAGATTACATAATTTGCACATTCCCCCACTGCTGAACTGTAAGATGGGGTAACAGTGCTGTTTAACTTAAAGAACTGAATTAATCCTGCAGATGTGCTCCATGCCTGATACTTAGTAAGAACCCCATAATACTAAGTCCTCCCAGTTATCTCCTTGATTTTTGGTAAATATTTCATTTTTATAACAATGCATTCAGAGTTGTATTTATTTCTTGCTTAACTGGAACCTTTGTGGAAAGACTTATTTTTATGCAATCTCTTAATAAGGAATTGAAGTGGTGAAATTGAAGTATAAATCTAATAAAAATAAAATAAATAAAATAAAATCAATGCCAATAAATCTTGCTGGAGTGCTTTTTTTCTTTTAACTTGGCTTGCATCAATTGATTTTACACCTGCATTTTATGAGGCATATTTTATTTTTTAAGCATTCAATTACACTGAATAGGTATACTAGTATAGGCTGAGAGCTGTGTCATAACTAAAAACAGCAGTAAATCTGCATTTAAGAAAGCTTCCAAAATGACTGTTGAAGCATTTCCTTTTTGTCTGAGATTCTGCATCTTCAGAAGACAAGGAAAGAAAACTTTGAGGGGTATACTGAAGGGTATACTGTATTCATTGGCATGAAATATAGGATATAAAAACGCAGTCCAAAACGCCAAGGCAATTTTAGCTGGGTCACTATACAAACTCAACATATACTATGGATATAAATTTACTGAGTGAGTAGTTGGCTCCTACTGGATGGAGAAAACATAAGTGGGGGCAATATACTTTCAAAAGAAGATAATTCTTAGTGTTAATTTGAATATATTGAGTCCAGAGGAGTTTTATTTCTTTTGTTTGTGGAGGCTTCTTTGGAGGGGGGCCTATTACATGTGATTTAGCTCTTAGATGACTTAAACTAATTAACAATTGGATCGATGGATGGATGGATGGATGGATGGGTAGTAGGATGAATAGTAGTATGGGTGGATGAATATTAGGATGGGGAGGTAGATGATGGATGAATGTATATATTCATAAAAGCCTGTTTGCTCCAAATATTCTAAAAGACAATTACCAGATATCTGAAACATAGTAGACACTCAATAAAATATTTTGAATAACAATATTATAGCTCCCTTTACCCTCCCAGATATATCGTCAATTCTGCATCAAATAGGCAGCAATGTTGGCTGCTTGTCTGTCACCTGGCATATATCTGACTGTCTTCTTCAAAGACAGAATGATGTGAACCAATGTCAAGGTGAGCAGATTCTGCTTATCAAGATCTACTCTCAAGAAGAGGTAAAAATACAGGAGGTAGAAGTACCACAGGAAAGAGGAAAGTCTCCACACCAAAAGGCACTTTAATGGAGTGACATGATCATCAGATTTGAAATGGGAAGACATGAGCTGGTGTCCATGTCTATCAGCTACTTGTTCTATGATAGCGGGCAGTTTCCTTAGCCATCCTGAGTAAACTGGGAAATACACCTTCACAGTGGTTTTGTTCATAAGGATGTAATCAAGAACGCTCATGAGCTTGTGCGCTAAACTTTAAAGTATCGCACAAATTTAGTCAACACCCATATCAGGTGCAATAGGAAAAGTCAATTTTGTAAATTGTAAAAGTATAAAAGTGAGAGAACTTCTCCAGACAACTGAGGTCTTAGAGACATGTGACTTCCCAGGACAATATGGCTTTGCTGAACAATTCATTCAATCTTCTTCCTTGAAGTAGTTTGTATAAAGTAAAATTAAACAGCAAAACTTGGGATCAAAAGTCATAACAAATGTATATTTCAAAGTATCTAACCTCTTGCAAAGTCATCCCTACAATTCCAAATTGCATTTTTATTAAGTAATGAGAGAGGTGCTTTTGTCCTGGAAAAAAGAAAGAAGAGAAAAAACACCCATCAGCCACAATCTGGACTGTGCCTGGAACCTCAGAGGCTGCATAGGACATAAATGTGTGCGTTTGCCTCCCATCCGTGCAGCTTTACTGCATATTCATGCCTGTGACTCCAATGTGCTTCTGAGACAGGAGATATGCTTATTTACTGTTTGGCCTGACTCCATCCCCATTCACCTGTGCTGAGCTAATCTGGCAGCCCCCTTCTGAGCCCAGTAAAGCTTGTTTTGAGCCAGAGGGAGGCTGGGGAGTCTGCCCAAATCCAAAGACTCTGTATCAGGCATTGGCAGGAAGAACGTGCTGAGCTCAGAGGCCTTCCCGAACTTGGAGGATCAAAACCACTAGGGCACTATCGCACACAGGTGTAGAGTGCCACAAAAGACAGCCGCCAACCCACACATGCTAATCGGGACACCTGAAGGTTGGCAGAATTCCGGCAGCAATTTCTCTTTCATCGATCTCCACTCGACTTTTCTTAGGAACCAACAGGGAGATGCTAGATCTGACTGTTAATGAATCAGGACACACTTTATTGGTCCTAAAGCATATTTGTCATGGCAATTTACATGAGTTAGCACCACGTTTCCAAAGCTTGCTACAGAATCTAGCAGGCATTCATTTTAATGAGCTAACACACCCAGAACGACATACTTTTTTACGGTATTTATTACATATTGTCATAAACACTATTAAATTAAGTTATGGGACCATTTGCAAAGTAAAAAAAAAAATAAAGTGTTCATCATTAGAGCAAGAAAAAGTCTTAAGAGACACCCGCTCCGGCATTTTTCACTTTGCTGGATGTAGAGGAAATTCCGACGGTATTCTTTGCCTCATCCTAGTTAAAAGGAAGTCAAGAGGCCTGAGCCTTAGTGGGTGTCCTGGAGGTCTGGGATGGAAAGGACAGGCCTTTGGGCTATAGAGGGCAGAGCCCAAAAGAAAAACCAACTCTGATAAAGGAGGATCTAACTCATGGGCAGAATTGGGGATAATGTATCAAAACAAAAGGATTCAACAGGAAGAGTAAGTAGAAAACACTGAAGAGAATCCTTGAGTAGGTGAAACACAGAACTAGGCACATTTTATATTACAGCAAGCCATTTTGAAAAATGACATTAATGATGGCACTATTGTTCATACCATTTGAGTATCTATTGGAAGACACCCACATCAGTCTGCATTCAAAGGGATTATACTTATTTATACCAGTGAGCCTCATTATCCCTTATTTCACAATGCCACAATTATGTGGCAAGAAGCCCTGCCCAGCTGGACTTTAGCTGTACATAATCACTATTTGTAATACCCTGGCTCTCACTGTACATGCCCACCGGCAATTGGAATCAGCTGACTTTATAGGCCCTTCTTTGATGTGATGTGTTATCTCCATGACCTTCTGGAATGCTGATATTTGCCCTCCTCCCCATGTTCACTAATCTGCCGTATTCTAAGCTCCTTCCTGAGGATGTGGCCTTTCTGAGAGTTAATGTGGCCTGATGATTTAAGAACATGGACTTTCACATCATAGATCTACACCTACCAGCCATTTTCCCTTGAGTCTTACTTAACCGCTGTGTTGTGTGCAACTGTAATGATAATAACAATCTCTACAACTAGTGTGAAGATGAGTTAAACTATGCCAGGCCCTCAAAACAGTGCCTGGTAATTAATGAACACTATTTAGGGATCTCTGATACTTATTATTTTGATTATATGTCCCCCTCCTTTATTGTTCAGCAATAGCCATGCAGGGAAAAGACAAGAAAAACAGGCTGGGATTAAAACCCAAAAAAAGCTAACATAATTTCCAGCTGAGTGTTGATTTTTTCATATGTGGCATTGTGAAATAAAGGATAATGAGACACATTGGTATAAATAAGTATAATCCCTTTGAATGCAGACTAATGTGGGTGTGTTACATTGGATACTCAAATTGTATGAACAATATTGCCATCATGTAATTTTTCAAAATGGCGATCTGATCAACTATTCTTGGTAAAGTCCTGGAAAAAGAAAAGTACAATTGCTTATTGATTTGTACATTTGTCACATTCCTGGAAATCCAAGAAATAATAAAAGTTAACAAATAAAATACTCTTGAATTTTATAAAAAATGACATACATTTTGGGTTCACACAATTACAATCAGATTTTTTACTTACATGAATGTCAGAATGGACATTCAAAGCCATGTGGAACATAGAACAATTTTTTATTGTGTGGGAGGAACCGTCCAATGCACTGCAGAATGTGCAGCCTTCCTGCACCCTATCTTCCAATTATCAGTGCCTCCCTTCCCCCATTCATCAGGATAGTCACAAAAGTCCCCACAAAATTTCAAAATGCCTCTTAGGGTAAACCATTGACTTACAGAGTGACCAGGACTGGAAGAAAGTTTATTGGTGGAATGAAAGCCACAAGAGTTTTCCCAGGAAGTTCACCTAGAGTAATAAGGGGCCAGTGAAAAACAAACATTTGATGGACAGGAAAGGATGGAAAGCAGCTCACAAAGACTGGGAACAGGCAGGAGAAAGGACCAAAGTCAAAAGAGAAGGGGCAAGGAAAAGGGAAGGTACAGTTTTCTGAAGAAGAGAATAGTCAATGGTATTGAATGGTGTAGGTCGATTAGGTGAAATGAGGGGGTGATGTAAACCTACTAAATTTGAAAATTAAGGGGTTATTTCCAAACTCTCCCAAGGTTACCAGTGCTGCCTTTGTGGGTAGAGAATAGATTGCAGCCAATTTAAAACTGGACATCAAGAATTGGAGACATTGTGTTGTCAATTCTTTCTGATAGCCTAAATGAGAAGGGAGGGAGATGGGGACTAACAATTGACATGACTCATTGGATCGAAGCACCTGAGTGTTAACTCACATTTCTTCACATCTCCTTCAAGAAGTATCTCAAGCACCTATGCTTGTAAAATGCAGGAGCAGTGCCTGACTTCAAGCAAACCCTGCAGATGCATTTTGGTTTGCTTTTAAAAACAAAGACATTTTAGATTTAAACAGGAGAGAGTTTTTCTTGAACAAGTCTACAAAGGGAAAGTAAACAGAGACCTTATCCTCTTCCTGAAACCCCTGCCAATATCTTTCAGCATGTTCTGTATATAACCACAGATCATGTAAACATAGTATGTTGCTTTCTATCTCCCCACCAGTTGCTAATCTGGCAGTTTTTCTGTTTCTTTCCAGGAAAAAAAGGTCAATATGGCTGCGTCTGAAACCATTAGGACTCCTCTCCTTAACTGCGCATCTCCTCAGAAATGTCAACAATTTCTGGGCTGTGGAGAATCTGGTTGTCAAGATTTGTCTTCAGTCTTGCAGTTGAAGTGGCAAAGAAGAGCATCTTCAAGATTTCATTTTAAGGATGGAGAAACTTGAGCATGATTCTATGCTGAAGAGGGCAAGGTAAGGAAGGAGTTGAAGTGGTCAATTGATGGAATAAGAACTTCGACAAGGCTGGAGGGAAGAGATCACAAACACCCACCTGAGACAGAGGAGGAGACTCTCCCTCACTTAACAGGAGGCAGGAAGAAAAGTATAGTGAGAGCTCTGGTGAAAGGAGAATGGAGAAGAAAATGGGACTTTTCAGAAGCTCATGTACGTGCCTGTTTCAGTTAGGGGATTTTCATAGATGCTCTAAGTAAATTATTTGTGTCAAACAATAAGAATGTTTATAACCTCATTTAAGAAACTTTTAAAGAATCCAGATTTAGATAATAATAACATGAAGCAATGAATAGAATTATCTACAAATGACCCTAAAACTCACTCTGAGTTGCTAGGAAAACAGTCCAGCTGGGATGAGGGAGTGGAGAGTGGTTGTTACGTGTCCAAGTGGGAGAAACAGTGTCCAAACTAAATCCCATGGGATGGGACCATAAGCTCCCTTTGGTTTTCTACGGTGACCCATGGTCCATGGACCAGCAGTGGCAGAAACATCACCTTGAAAAATATTCGATGTGCAAACTCTCAGACCCCATCACGGACGACTGGGTTAGAAATTTTAGGGACTCAATAATCTGTATTCTAACAAGCACTGCAGGTCCATGCTAGTGTATGAGAACCATGTTGTAAACACCCAAAACCCCAAATCCAGATGTAGAGACCAGGTCATTGAGGATTTCCAAGGCAATTATAAAGATTTTCTAGAGACAAGCCGGAGGAAAGCTCTGTGTGATCCCACATCACCTTGTTGGTACCCACGTGCCTGGAGCCATTTCAAATTCATCCTCACATTGAATTAGGAAAATTAAAATTTTCTGGGTTCTAGCAAAGGTAGCACAAATTTGATCAATCACAAGGGTACATACAAGAATATTCTGGAGTCAACGTCCTAAAGGTCAGGCTGATTCAGTTTCACCTGATAATGTGCCTCAACACTCTAAAGCTCAGGTGTTCATTAAGTCAGAGAACATGAGACGGGCCTAGACTGCATCCTGCCTCCACCTTGGACTGGCTGTGACACCTGATATACCTTATCCGCTCTGAACACCACTTCCCTCATAAAGCTCATATACTGAATCTTAAAGTTATTGTGAGAGGAACAGGGTAATGTCCAAATAAGTTCACGAACTCATTCTAGAAAAAGTACTACATACCTCATTGCTGAATATCACAAGGGTCACCTTCCAAGTACTTCCCTTGGGAAGCTAAGCACAGACGCCAGTGCCTAGTCCACCTTTCAAAGCAATTTTGGAACTCTTTTTCTGGAATGACCATCAGAGCTGTTGTCATATTACCCTTGATGTTCTGAACTCATCAAAATGTCTTTCTTTCAATATCCCCATTACATTTGGGTAAAGAAAGAAGGCATTGAAGGCCAGATCAGGTGAGTAGGGAGGGTGTTCCAACACAGTTATTTGTTTACTGGCTAAAAAGTCCCTCACAGGCAGTGAGTGCCGTGGGAGCTGGTGCATTGTTGTGATGCAAGAGCCATGAATTGTTGGTGAAAAGCTCAGGTCGTCTAACATTTTCAGGCAGCCTTTTCAGCACTTCCAAATAGTAAACATGGTTAACTGTTTGTCCAATTGGTACAAATTCATAATGAATAATTCCTCTGAAGAAAAAAAAAAAGGTTAGCAACATCGTTGCAACAAGTTCGCGAACTTAATTGTCAGACCTCATATACTATATTTAACAGTGTTTGAGGTATCATAATAACTCAGTAAATGATATCCAGAAAGCTCATTGCTGTGTGGTTTTTGTTGAGACTCTTGTCATTTTTGGCACTTGCTCTGGGTGCAACACTGAAGTTCTAAGGAGTAATGGTAGTTAGTAAGTAAAGGGGGGATACAGAGACGAGCTAAGAATTCAGTCTGGGAGAGAAGGGCCACAGAAAAAGTTTCCAAGAACATGATGCTCATGATAAATTCTGACGGATGAGGAAGAGAGAGAAGAGGCACAAGGAAAGGTAGCTCAGCGCTGAAGACCCAGCAAGGATATAGGCACAAAGGCTGAAAACTGTGTTGCTTTGCCGGAAATGTTCAATGAGAGCAACTCGGTGAAAAGCAGATTCGTGTCAAAGACAGGGATGAGCTAGTGCTGCAGACTAAGCCAGGGACCGTCATGAAGACCCTAAGTGGCCTAACTAGGGAACTGGACACATTTGAAGAAAATGGAGAGAAATTGGTGGGTTTTCAGCAGAGGAATGAGGTAGCTTTTCTTTAAAAAAAACAAACCCTACCCAGGCTAAAAGGAGAAGGTGCTGAAATGGAAAAGAACCTGGAATCAAGGGATTTGTCTGGAGCTTGTTACCATAAATCGGGACGGCAAAGGTGAGGTCCTGAGTGAGGCATGGGAGGAGTGAGAGATCCCTTTATGGGGCTGTAATGAAACAGAATGTGTGCTACTGATAGGTGACAGGAGCCTCAGGAGAAAGACTTCACACATTAAGAAAAAAGAACACACGCAATGCACGCTGTGAGCACCTTATGTGACTAGCAATGTAGTGGTGACCTTGAGGAGGCCACTGCCTCTTTCTGGCTTTAGTTTCCTCCTCTATATAAATGATGAACTTGGAATTGAAGATATCAGGAAATGACTCAAGGCCATGCTACTCCAATCAGAATTTATGTCTGCAAGCTGGCACCCTGATTGTTGTGGGATAAACAAGGTACGTGCCCCTAAAATTTTCTTTTTCAGACAATAATTCAAACTATTACCCTTCTATTAAATTAGACATAGATATAATTTAGCATAAAATGCAAATATGCATACATTCTAAAAATAAAACAGAAAGCTTTAAAGACATGCCTGGCTTGCAAGCTGTGATAGGAAGACTTCTAAGGTGGCTCAGTGATCCCCACCTCCTGGTATTGTCTTTACCTCCGTGTGTAATCTCCCCACTTTGAGAATATGCTAGGCCTAGTGACTTTCCTCTAAAGGACAGAATACAGCAAAAGTCATCAGATGAAATTTCTGAGATTAGACTATGAAAACTGTGACTGTCTGTCTCTGTCTCCTGGTCTCTTTCTCTCTTCTCACTTAACCACTGTGATGAAGCCAGTTGCCATCTTGTCAGCTGCCCAACTGAGATGTCCACAAGGCAAGGAAGGTGAGCAAGGAACTGAATGCCTCAGTCATGCCACCCACAAGGAATGGAACCCTGCTGATAACTATATGCAGAGGCTTGGAAGCATGTCTTCTACATTTCAGTCTTGAGATGACTGAAACCCTGAATGACCCATTTATTCTGAGAGCCCAGATGACCCCAGCTAAGCTGTACCTCGATTTCAGCCCCACAGAAACTATGAGATAAGAAAGATCCATAATTGGTGCAATTTTTTGTACACCAATGCGTAATTAATACACAAAGGATCACTTTGGGCTGTGGGAAGAGTTCGTCACTGAAGTGGTCTGTCCACTGCCTCTGCCTTTAGCCCCTCTTGGTGGAAATGTCTCCACAACACCCTTAAGAAGAGCCATGGAGTAGGGGAAGACAGAGGGGCATTCATTGTAAGAGTAAACCCTCAGGTTTCAGGTCTCTGGAATACAAACTTCTGTGTGTCAGAGAAATGTAAAGAAAGCTAGGCTAGTTGCACAAGATTTCCTAGCTGGTTTATGATGAGCTGGAACTCCAGGTATTCAGATACCCAGGTATTATGGTATTCTATTAAATGACCCTGAGCCCTAATATATGTGGATATATATGAATATACATGATTACACTAATTAATGATTACATGATTAATTATCATACACATGATTAATATCATATATGTTACTTACTCATAATTACCGTCATTATCCTTACTGAGTCTGCAAACCATTGCCTAGACATTTGTTTGTTTACTAGTAAGTCTGAGGCATCTGAATGCAAGGTTGTTTCTTTCTTCCTTTTTTTTTCTGTTTCTGTTCAGTGACTCCTAAAGGACACTATCAAGAATCTTTGGACAGTGATCACAGAACGTTGAATTGAAAACATTTCCCAAAGCCCCAAGACATATTTCAACACTCACCTCCAGATACCATTGTTGCATGGCTGCCCAAGATAAGGCTGGCCTTATTTTATAATTCAACTTCACTTCAGGGCAGAGGGAGTGAGGCAGAGCATCATAAACCCAGTCAATGGAATGTTCTTCCACTCTCAGGACAAGCTGTAGAGAAATGATATGGAAAATGCAGATAGACTGTCTCTGCTTTTAGAGAACAGCGAGTTCTTAGAAAAACCGTTACAAGCTTCACAGTGACTGATTACCATGGATACCCAGAGTGCGAAGGGCAGAGCTACTGTTGTTTTTGTTGTGTTTCTGTTTTGTTGCTGTTCTTTTAATAGCCCTCTGCACTTGGCATGGTGTTCTTCAACCAGTCTGGGAATGCCTCACTAACGGGGAGCCCAGTGCTATTCACTTGTGGGTTCGATTTGTTAGGATGCTCAAGATTATGCTGCAATAACAAACAATTCCCAAATCCCAATGGGTTAAAACAACACAAATGTGTTTCTCGGTCATACTAAATGCCCACCATGGATTAGCTGAAGACCACTCTGCGTGGTTCTCACACCAGAATCCAGGCTGTCAGAGCAGCCCTCTCTAAACCACTACAGATTACAGTGACAGAGGGGAAGGTAACATAGCCATTGTGAACTGGCTCTACAGTGCTTTACCAGAAGAGATACACTGACGTTTCGTGGGCCAGAGCAAGTCACACAGCCATGCCTAACTGCAAGGGGAGGGAGACGAGCAAGCCCAGCACGTGCCAAGAGGAAGAAAGGAACAGGGCTTTGAGGAGGCCGAAAGCCCACCAGGTGATTACCTTGGAGTTAAGGTTATATTAGAAGCAACTGGGCAGAGATCATATGAATAGACACATCAATATTAAACCTGCAAACCAAGTGACTTGCAAAGCCCCGTTCTTTGTGGTCTTCCTCAGTTTCGATCATGCTTAGTGGTGAGAATGCCAGGGAAGCAGTCAGGCTTCGGTTCACAGATGATCTCTTCTTTACTCTCAGCCCATGTTCTCAGTCTCATCTCCCTTGTCCATCAGGGATTTTGTCTCATCAAGTTTCTGTGCCTTCTGTGTCTCTAGATACATCCTGTCCCTGGGAAGTATCCACCCTCACAGCCATCGCTCTCTCTCTTCCCCACGTTTCACAACTATGAATCTTAAGAGAAGGCAGCGTTAATTCTCCCCACTTTCTAACCACAGCTGCGTGATATTTACAGCTTCTACCCATACTCGAAGGGGAGGAGGCTGAACAAGGGTGAGGCTCACTGGGGTCATCTTAGAATCCTGCCTGCCGTAGCTGACAAAGAGCCAAAGATTAAGTCAGACATTGTTGGGAACTGTGTCTCATTGCCTTAAAATCTGTAGCCCATAGACAGTGTCTGTCGAATCAAAGAATAAACGAGTCACTGGGGCCTCTCGATCACCTTCTATATGGCTATCTTTACCCGTAACAGGTACTAACATCATGGATGTTTCGATTATCTGAACATTCTGGCACCCCAACAGGAACGCTTCTCCCTTTCTTGCCGTCAGTGTAGTGTAATGCATGTGCACGAAAGCTCTGGCACTGGATGGCCCAAGTTCAAATCCCACCTTTTCCTTTTACTGTTTTGTCATGCTACCCAAATTCACTGAACCTCACACAGGCTAAGCCTCTTTCTATAAAGATCATAATAACTGCTTCATAGGGTTTTCACAAGGATCAGCTCAGATTTTGGAGAGCACACACCTAGACACACACTAAATGTTCAACAAATGTTATTATTGTTATTCAGACATTCCTTTATGCCATGGCATCTTGTGTCTCATCTTTCTTCTTTTCTTCTATTTTTCTTCTTTCATAGAAGCAGCCAGAAGCCTGCTACATTTGACAAAGTGCTGATCCTAACAAAACCAAAAGCACCCTTAGCTAACATACTCCCCCAAGAGGTGATGTGATTCATCAGTGTTCCCTCCCTGCCACCCTGTGCATGGACACGGACCACAGGAAAGAAAGCTGGGAGTAAAACAAGGGGTCTGAGCATCCTTTTTTTTGGTTGGAGTACAATGGTGTGGACAGAAAAGTCCTAAAGAGAGGCTAAAGGTCTCGAAAGAAAAACACAGACGGTTTATTAGAAATGGCTTTTCCATTAACCATCTCCATGACCTTGGTCACATTGCAATTCCCCACTGCAAACTGGCATGCCCTCCCCTACCCGAAGAGGAGCTCGGCCCATGAGATCCGACTTTTCACACTGACACTCTGCCATTTCTGATCTGAGAACAGCACTGCAATCAGCCAGAGCCTCTTGTGCAGCGATGGAGGACCCTGTGCTAATGGCTGAAACAGGCACCGCGCATTGATGTCACCAGCTTTGTGTAGTCAGCAGAGGAAAATGGCGCCTCCACGCGATGAGGATGAAAGTCAGGAGGCAGAAAGGCAGCAGAAATGGAAACACACTAGTACCCTCTGAATCTGTATACTACATTGGACCTTACAAAGCACTTCCATGTTCACTGTCAATATGGATTTCACAAACAATGCCATGAGTGGGGATGATGGCTATTATCATCAACATCTGTGAAAGAAACTTAAGTTCAGGGTTTTTCCCAGATGAGAGAAGAAAGACTAAAACCAGCTGTGGTATTGTAAGCAAGCTAAAAAGATTTCAGGTCTACCATCTAGATTCATGCCCATCATCTCTCTGCTAGTTAACCTTGGAACATGACCGTTAACAAAATCTCCACTTTAAATCTTATGCTTTCCTGTGCTATAAAAGAGGAATAATACTAATACTAATAATTCAAACATCAGGGTGGTTTGCAAAGTCCACATCTGATCACGTATATGATTTCACTTTCCAAACTCTAAAATGTGTGTTTAGCTGGTTGTGCTGAGTTGTTCTGGTGCCAAGGCTCACTTAGAGATGGGCAAGATAATCCAAATAAACTGTCTGGCTGATTGACACTCCTGAGGCTATCCCTTCACCTATTCCTTTCCGTGTGTCACATCACCTGCTTTGCGTGCCCCCATCACTCTTTTTCCCAAATCTACGTCCATTTCTTCAAAGCTGTCATAAACTTCATTCTCCACGAGGCCCTCTTATGGTGATTAGACACTCCTTGTTCAGACACTGACTCCTGCTCTGACCTCAGAAACTGTGGTCATCTGTCAATCTGGCTAGCCAGACAACGTGACACCAGCTGCCTTGGACTTGTCGGGAAACAGGTGGCAGAACATAGAATTGGGAGGGTTAAGTTGAAGTCCCAGCTCTGCTGCTAACCAGGTGGGCAAATGGGGAAATGCCACTGAGTCCCCTGGAAACACAGCATCCTTTTCTGCAAAGCCGGGAACACAATGCCTGTCCTTGACCCCACAGACTCCTGAAGAGCAAGAAAGGAGAGCTTGTAAAGTGCCTTCTTATCTGTGCATTGATGGACAGATAGGCCTCGCTCTTCTTGTTTTGTTATTTAAATAGTGGAATTTATTTATCTTTTTATTAAACTCATATCTGAAAACATCCATCTCAAGGTGATCTCTGACTCAATGAACTTCCGTGACATTTTTTTTTAAAGAATTTTATTGGTGAATTGGGGGGATGGGAACAGTGCTGGGGAATTGGGGGGAAGGGGGACAGACAAGTTGCTGTCGTTTTGTTCTTCAGTCTAGTTGTGGAGGATGTTGCTTCACTGGCCCAAGTTGGCACCATCATTGCGCTCTTCCCGGGTGAGGCAGATCAGTCGCCGGCTTCTGGACGGCCGCTCACTGCGGCTGCTGGCCGCTCACGCTGGCTGCTGGCTACACACGGTAGCCCATGGCAACCCACTGCCATAGGGACTGCAGCCCACGCCGTCGCCGGCGACTCACAGCAGCCCAGCCCGTGACATTTTTTAAAGAGAGATAAAAGAAATATTCTCTGAATGCCTAACGAAAGTCAGGTGGTATGTTAAATTTATTTGTATTGCTTATCCCATTTTATCCACACAACACCCCTCTAAGGAGAATATTACCCTCCCCTCAAAGAAGGGGAGAAACTCTCAGGTTTCTGGTGGGGGTGGCAATATGTCCAATGGTGTTGGTGACAGACCTAAGAGAGAGGAGAAGCAGTAGCCTCTGAGCACCTCCTGCTGGAGGTACCTGCTAATACACGCAGGGGGGCGCCATCCAGGGGGAGGTGGAACCTCAGGTCTGCACCCAGAGGAGATCTTGGCTGTGCCCGGACACTTGGGGCTCATCCGTGAGGAGAAAATTGAGGTTGAATACGTAAATGTGGTCAGCCAGCGAAAGTGGGTAGACTGAAATATGAGGACCACGATGGAATGCTGGGAACTAACATTTTAAACATGGGCTGAAGAGGGTGAGATGGAGAAGATTAAGGCGCAGCTGGGGAAGCAAGGGGAATAGCACGATAATACGCTGTTGCAGAATTCAGAAGAGGAGAGAATTTCAACTAGGAGGAAATGTTCATCAATGCTTACAACTATTTAATTGTGATAAAAGAATTGAAAAGCATCCAGTGCATTTGGCAGTTTATTTTTTGTTAACCACAAGGAGGCCGTTTTCATGGCAGGGGGAGGGGGGTTGGGGGGTGAGGAAAGCAGATCACTATAGATTAAGAAATGACTGGAAAGTGAGGAGGAAGCAGAGAGAGTGGGAATAGGCAATTCGGTGTGAAAGTAAATACTAATGAGTGATAACTGAGAGAGGATGGTGGCTCCAGGGAGAGTTTGGGCATGTGAAATGGCTGATAAACTAAGAGAAACCTAGCAGTTATTTACCAAGGAACAGTAATTCATTCATTCACTCAGGGGTCCTGCTGTCTCCCGCACTGCTCAGAGGCAGCTGGAGAAATGTGGTCCCATCAGGCCCCCAAAGCTGAAGAGAAACAGATAAACTAGAGCACACCTTGCACAGGAGATTAACATAACAAGGAGATTCCACATTCCTGATGATGCACAGAGCACACATTAGAACAAACATAAAACACACACAACACATGGAAAACACTTATACAGCACACATCGCATGCATATCATACAAGCAACATACATTAAACATGTGAGAATACATTAAAACACATACTGTGTGCCTAACACATATGGTAATGTGTGTATACATATGTCAGCTGTGCACATGCATAAAATACACACCACACATATATAGCATTTC